GCTAGGATAAAGCTAGTCAGATTTTTGATGAAACTGAATCATGAAACTCTAACACTGAAGAATGGAACACAGGTCCATGGAACAATTACAGGTGTAGATGTCAGCATGAATACACACCTTAAAGCTGTGAAAATGACCCTGACAAACAGAGAACCTGTACAGCTGGAAACAGTAAGTATTTGAGGAAATAACAGTCGATACTTTATTCTACCAGACAGATTACCTCTGGAAACACTTCTCATGGATGTTGAACCTAAGGTGAAATCTAAGAAAAGAAAAGCTGTTGCAGAAAGAGACTGAGGCCAAGGTAGATGAAGAGGAAGGATGTGGCCATGGCAGAGGAGGAGGGGGTCCTAGGAGATAATGTCTCTGAAGATTACTGTTGGAAAGTGATCATTGATTTGGGATATTTTTTGTACAGGATTTGTCAGTTTTTAAAATTAACATAAATGTAGGAGAAAAAAAGAGCTTGGTCCTCATTCTATGATGCCATTAGAAGGTTGAAAGGTAGGATCTCATGGGAGGTCTTTAGGTCATTGGGGGAGTGTCTTTTTTTTTTTTTGTCAGTCATGGGGCTTGAACTCTGGGCCTGGGCTCTGTCCCTCAACTCTTCAGCTCAAAGCAAGTGCTCTTCCACATGAGCCACAATACCACTTTCCATTTTCTGAGTGGTTTATTGGAGATAGAGTCTCACAGACTTTTGGGCCTGGGTTGGCTTTGAACCGTGATCCTCAGATCTCAACCTACTGAGTAGCTAGGATTACAGGCGTGAGCCACCAGTGCCCGGCTGGGGTATGTCTTTAAAGAGGACAGATGAAACCCAACCCTTCCTCTTCCATATTCTTTCATTTCCCAGCATGTGGTGACCGGTTTACTCTGCCTCAGGCTCCTACCTTGTGCTGCCAGAGTCTCAAAGCAACAAGAACTCTAAAACCTGTAAGGTTTTAAACCTTTTTTCTTTATAACATGATTGTTTGGGGGTATTTTTTTTATAGTGACAGAAAGCTAAACAATCACTTTTGGGAAAACAATGCATTATTCTCTCATTTCTGTCAATATCATTTGACAAAATTTCAGAACTATTCAACTGCATGGGTTCTAAAAAGCATTTTGTTTTCCACTATTTACAAGGTGGGTTCACTAGCCAAACTACCCAGCAACAAGCTGTCGGACCAGGCCAGCTAGTTGCTAATATTATCCAGCAAGCCATGCTTGAGTGGGCCTAATTTGACTAGTGATAAAGCTCACTGGACAATAGTTACACATTCCTATGACTTTAGTTTTCTAGGCAACCTGACAATTGCAGAATCTGGATAACAGGGTAGCAAGGCATCACTCACCTACCCCTCAGCTTCCCCCTGGAGAATCTACCTACAGGTCTTTATCCTCACTTCTCTCTCCTTACCCACTGCCTGGGGTTCTTAGACCCCTTCCATTATATTAATTATACAACCCCAAATGCCAGCAGTTGGTCTCACTGAGATGAACCTGAGACATACCTCTATACTCTCAGTGAGTCTTGTCTCAAATTTAACTCATCAAACTTCTTGGGATATTTAAAGTTTATAATTTTGGTCAGAACTGTAGTTCCAAGTCAAATATGTGTTTTAAAGAGCAAATAATATAAGTCTTAGTAAACTTTTAAAATCACACGGTAAAGTCAACATCTTTCTTATGAGTGTCAGCCACAGAATGCCTGTCAGAATCCAAACTTTGTCTTAAGGATATGGGCACAGTCATTTTCTATACATTATGAAAAAAAAATACGGTCCCAGATTTTTACACAAATAGTCTCAATCTACTTAGGCACGTTTAATACTTCATTTTTAATTTTAATTTTGAAAACTTAGTGGGAAGAATGAAGTCTTTTCAGGGTCTGGGGTTCTAAATGATTACCAGTGTAAACTATGACTTTGTAGAGTATCCTCTAAAACCTCATACTATTGGATCCCTTGCTCTTGAAATGTGTGCCAAGTAAACAATCATTTGTTTTTCTCTTTGCCGTTTTAAGGAGAATTTTGTTGAGTTAAGTGTGTGTTTCAGGATGCAGTATAGTTTGCCAAATTCTCCCCTCCCTTTTTTTTTTTTTAAATGTCATACAGGGTGTGGTGCCTTTAGGGAATAGGGAATATTTTTTAAAAGTTGAAGTTGATGTTTTTCTCCCCCCTACACTTTCCCAAAAATGGCCAGATAATCAACACCCCCACAGAGAAATTCATCCTAGGACTGGCTTCAATCTTCACTAGGCAAAGTCTTCAGAAGCCAGTTTTGTTCATTTCCTTACCAAGACTTAATGTCCTGAGCATCATAATTCACCATTAGAAATGAAACTTGATAATAACACTTGAATGTCCAATTTGTTTTCTTCTGCGAGAGGCAGAAACAGTTTAGAAGAAATAATGCCCAAATGAAGCAGCTAAATGAAGATACACCCCCACAGGGAAGAGGGGTGATGATTCCAAACCTCCATGTCCCCATCCTGATGTTATTCCTCTTTCATTAACCAACAGCCTCGTTTATTAACTTTCATTAACTGACACCTCTTCTATTAACACTCTGGTTGTTGGGACTGCATTGGATAAAATAAAGGTTTCAAGTGAGCTTGCCTTTCTTCCTTCCTTCCTTTCTTCCTTTGGCAAAGCTTTAATTTCACAAGTCTACCACCATTCTTCTTGGGAGTAAAAAAAAAAAAAAAAAGAAATTCTCTGTAAGGGCGAACGAAGCGGCTGCGGCTGCGGCTGGTGGGAAGAGCTGTGGGATTCACGAGAGAGATGCCTGGGAAGAAACTCCACTTCCAGAACGCGTGGCCGGGTGGTGACCGGAGGGGGCTGGGGCTCGGGTCTCCTTTGGGGTGACAATCGCTGCACACACAAAATCACAACAACACACGCAGGTCTCGCCCCCGCCCCAGGCCGGCCCCCTCCCGCTGGGCGTCCCCGGGTCCCCGGGAGCCGGATCGGGGCGGGTCCCGGGATGGGGACGGGGATGCTGGGGGGCCGGCGCCCCG